CAAAATTGTTCGCTTTCTATTTTCTATCCAGCATTTTACGATCAATTGTGGCCGCCATAACTAATAACATGACTAAGTTTAAGAGAAGGGCTATTATTCTAAAAAAAATCATGAGGTCATTCTGAAGAAATTCTGTGAAAAGTTCTTATCGAATTATCAAAGTTATCTAACTAGATATATCAAAATTTTAAACAGTTCGAACGCAGAAGATCATAAAAAATGGGAATTAGTATTTGCTAGTCATCATGTATGTATAAGATTCGATTAAATTAGAGGAATTTATGAAATTTGATTTTAAGTTCCATGACATAAAAAGTTTATTTCAATATGAAACCGTATTTGAATTTCTAAGTTACCATATAAATGGTTACATATTCAGTATTTACAAATCACTATTTGGTCACTATTTCCGTAATTTTAGTCACTAAAGTCACTACTATTATATCGCATCAGCACTACCAGCCCTGGGGAAGGTACTGGGGGTAAATCGAAAATCTAAAATTGCGACCGTCACGAAATAGTGTAAGATTGCGAACGCTTATAACTTTGTCATTTATAGATGAAATTAAAATCCAAATACTCCAATCGATAGGAAATAACTCTCACAATCTGTGTGTTCTAAAAAAAAATCGGTGAAAAATGTACAATAAAAAGTGATAATCTTATCATTGTTTTAATGAAATAAACGTTCTCCCCTATCCAAGTCGTCATAATCGAGTACCATTTGGTTGCGCATTGTTTAGCTTGAACCTGTAAAACTATATAAGAGCTCTGCTGTCGTTCCTCCGCTCGTTAAAGTTTCGGACGGCGTGGCAAGCAGAAGCAGGGGCAAATCAGGAAAAGGTGGAATTTTTCCCTCTGCCTCTGCTGAACAATACCGCAGTCAGGCCAGAGCGCTGCTGTTGTGAATCCGCTCATTTTCGCATCGGACGGACGGTGTGGTAAAATAGCAGCAGTCAGCTTGATGACAATCAACGATGGGGTGGAGAGAATGTGGAATTTGTGGAGATCGAACAATTGGTCCTTTCAGGATCACACATATTTTACAGAAAGAGTTATTGAGACTGTTTTCGGTCCCGTTCAAATAATATGAAACGCGACAAATGTTATTTTTATATAACAAACCACCCATCCTCTTTTAACGACAACCTAAAAAGAATTGACGTTAATTTTTTCACCCGGCAAAAGAGCCAAACATTCAAGTTGAGAGAAAATTGTCATGTCATGTATGCTGTACCTCTCACAGCTACAAAATAGTGTAAAAGATGTCTGGTACCTCTTTATATGCAATTAGATTAACATCTGAAGTCCATCCTTTTTACATATTCAGCACAAAAGCTACTTTCTGTCACGCCCCATTCATAAAATTAACGTTGGGAAATCCTGTAGTTTTTGTGCAGGATATGTAAAAAAGGAGGGACTTCGGATGTTGTATACACATTAAGATGCATAACTGTCAGAAATGTCAAAATCTTATGAATTTAAAATGGGTTGGAGCATCTTTGCGTAAATGCAAGAACGGCAAAAAGTTAGGAGATATTATTCTGAATACTTGTAGTTCTAGTTCCCCATTATGTGCTTAAGAGGTGGATAAATTCGACCGTTAAGCTATCCATAAAGATTTAGAATTATGATCCTGCTTGGATGGACGCATTTCTGATTGCTACTTCAAGCAAATTATGATTAAATAGGGGAAAAGTTGGCTTCGGCAATACCTTAACCTATTATCGTCAGGGGGGTAAACAAAGTCCTAGAGCACTCAAATTTGACCAATAGTTGCTCTGAAACACAATGTACCAACATGCCAAAATTGAGCTCTCAAGGACGTTGTTTACCCCCCTGACGATAATAGGTTAAGGTATTGCCGAAGCCAACTTTTCCCCTATTTAACATGGACCAAACTTTCAAATTTTGTGAAAGCACAACTCTGAAAGTCAAATGTTCGATTATGCTGATGGAAAGAAAGTGAGGGGGCATTCCCAAGTAACCAACAAGCCTGCTTAGTAATAATCCGACTAATAATGCGGCAAAGCCATGTATTACTCGTATGTTAGCTTTATATAATAAAATCAATCCAAATTAGCGGGCTTATTGGTTACCTCCCAAGTAAAAATTTTATTAGGGTACTGTAGACCATGATTAAGACTTGCAGGGTGCTTTAAAACCTCATTAAAACTAACAATTTTACTTGGGCTGGGATATGCAATACATGCTTGCGAACGATTTCCCACCAGAGGTATCCAACTGCGATCAAGCGTTTGGTTAAACGTGTTATCCATCACAAATGTTCAACGGAGATGGGATGGGCATTGAAGTGTGCACGGGGAATATATTTTATAACGGAGGATTAAAGGTTTCAAATTCAAAAATATGCCTAACGGTAAGTCCACCCGGAAAAAAATAACCATACAATTACCATAAAACAAAATACAATTACATCAAAATCTATTGACAACATTCGATCTTATTGTACAAGAAATTTTAGCATATTGTTATTACAAAAGATTTACAATACGTCCCATATAGTAAGAATTTTCTACAATAGAATAACAATAAAATTAATGATAAATGGCTCATCTTTGTTCGGGAAAAAGCGATTTTTCTTATAACCAACCCCCTTGTTCTATTGTAGATTTCCCCATTAACCATCGATTCTATTGTGAAAACAATACATTCTATGGTTATTTTATCGTTGTGGGCAATATGATTTACTGTAAATACAATAAATTCTATTGTATGGTTTCAATACATTTCAACAGTCAGAAAATATCTTATATGGGTGAGGAAATTTTGCATGTCAAGGAGAGGAAGTGGAGTAAATTTAGGAAATAAGTTACTTCTACTGTATTTTAAATCAATATCAAGAAAAATGCACGAGAAGTTCACTAAACATCTCAACGTAGTCTACGTCAATCATGCGGTCGTGTCTTGTACACAACCCCACCATTTTTTTTTCGGTGACGTTTCAACGTCACTGAAAAAAATCCAATCAAATCAAAGCTATTAGGCCGAAACCCATTAGGCCAAAAGCCATTAGGCCGAATTTTGAAATGTAAAAGATGCAACTTGGAGTATTCATTTTAACTATTTTTAACATTCTTGAACCAAGGTTGCAAATACTCATTTCAGCTAAAATAATGTTTTTCGGAATAATAAAACCAAAAGATGGTATGATGGTATGTTGTACTTGTAACTTACAAGAAGAGGCTACAAAGTATGCGTTTGAAATATAAAACCTGTAAATTTTGCTTTCTATGAGTCACAATCAGCGATTTTCTGATCGCTGAGTGAGTGAGTGAGTGAGTTAGTGAGTTTGTGAAAAATCGATGATTGTGACTCTCATGAAGTGAAATAAGCAGGTTTAATATGTCAAACACATTATTTGCAACCTCCTCTTGTATCCTACCAATTCAAAATATGATCATGACATCTAATTATTTCATAATTTAAAAAAACATTGTTTTATCTGAAATGAGTATTTGCAACCTTGTCTTGAACTTCGAAACTGTTCCAATATATCTTTGTGCGAAGGGAAAAACATTCATGAATTCATTAAATGCCTTTTAAAATCTTGAGCTTAAAACATTTTCAAAGATTTAGGATCTTTGAAAAAATTCAAAATCACACATTCATAAAATTAAATCTTTCGGATTTTTTTTAACATAATTCTGTGTTTTTAATGGTTTTTGCAATCTCACTCTAAGGCAATGCAACTTGTTCCTACTTTGAAGATTTGATTTCCAATTTGGAATTCAAGATTGTGAACATTAGGAAAATGTGAAGATCATAGGCGAAGAAAATGTTTCAAGGACTAAGACTTTTAAAATATTTGAAAGATCTCGCAAATAGGAACATTTTCAAACGAAGAATGTTCAGTCTTTGATTTTTAAGATTATTCAAAGCCCATTTTATCCTTCTTTGCAACATGAGTGGTTCTTTTGGGGCTTATTATCACAATGGTTTTAAACATGTTGGATAAACAACCCTACGAACATTGGAAACGGAATAAGAGCTCATTCAGGCAAAAATATGCTTCTTCAGCTAAAAAATAACTTATTCAGCCCTTAATAGGCACAAATAGTTTGTTAGGAATGCACCAACACAATTTATTTTGCTCTATTTACTGCTGATTATTTATTAAGGTAGTCTGTGGTGAATTAATCTCTTCTTCTCTTAAAAAATATTAAGGGCACATATATCAACTCCAACAATAAACATACGAAAATGGAGTGCATCAAACATGGAGTTGCATTTGCAAAGCGTCATCATGTCGCCCATATGTGGATTCCATCAAGTTCAGGGAACTGCGTCTACGCAAAGCCATGTAGTTTTATTGAAATTAGAACTTTTGTAAAAAGTTGTAAATCAACCACCAGTTGGAAACCCTATCGAACGCGCACCTTAACAAGAATGTGTAGATCGCCGAATGGAAGCTGCTTCCCAGTAGGCAACAACACCGACCCTCTAGCGACAGCAACAACAACGGAGACTTCCCTCGCCGTCTCTCGTGCCATCTGTCCGCTTGAACTTGAACGATTCAAGGTGGTTTTGTTGATAAATACTCACTGTGACACATCTGGCGGTACGTTTCGTGACCAGCCAAACCACTCGGCCGGGTTTAGATGATTCAATTCAGCGTTCAACTCTTAACTAACGCCCAGAACGCAGTTCGATGTCGGACTGGCTCTATTCGATGTAAAGTCAACTGAACGCCAGCTACCCAGATCGATGTGAGTTGAATTCAGCTTGATTGCCTCGTCTAGACTCGGTTTTAGTGCGGTCGGATTACAGATCACACTCGCTACTGCGAAGCAGCTCGTTTCCAGTTGTCAGTCGCACTCCATTATCGCCTTATGCACACAACTCGAATCGAATTTAGGTAAACTCGTGACTCATCGGGGGCTGCTCTGTCGTGATAAGCAAAACCTTGCCCATAAGTGACCGATAAGATATCTCTCATTGTTTCGAGTTGTTCTAATATTCCCTCCTCGGTCGATCAGTAAATCATACGCTCAGCAATCTCTCGCCAACTTGGACACCACGCCGGGCCAGACTGCCATTAGAAGTGCCGAAAGCCGAAATCCAAGCGACAGCTGAGTGAAGAAAGAAGAAAAATTCCGTTCCTCCTTTTAGCAGATTGCGGAATATTTGCTCTCCTACCCATCATCGTCGTCATCGCAACCATCGCGGGTGGCTAGTTTGGCCTATTAGTGTGCAGGAACGCGTTGACGACGACGACTCAAAAGGGTTACTCGCACGTCATACTAGTGTATTTTTTTCGTCGTGGAAGTTGTGTGTAGTGTAGTGTGAGCCGGTGGCGGAGTGGAGAAATCGTGACACGGCTGTGTCTTTCAACGCGTGTTAGTGTAATTTGGAAAGTGACGAAAATAGAACCGATCTGTCGTCTGCTTAGAAGAAGAAGTGTCTGTGATTGATACCACCAGCGCAGTGTCTCGAGACGAGTAGAGATATAGGAGAGACGGAGGAGTGAGCCGAATATCTGGTTCAGAACAGCTGGCGGAGTTAGCAGAAAAGAACCCGAGGATTCTACTTCTTGGAAGCGAACGATGAGCGAAAACAACAACTGGGATGTGAAGTGAGTATAGGATTTTAACGTGCTAGATTACAGCGCACAGTGGGGCCAGAGGTTACAAAAATGGGATATTTTTGTTCAGCTAGATAGTATCTTTTGCTATTTTTACCGTAGTTATACATTATATTTTACTGAAAAATCCAAATGTTCACCTAACCGGATGAGAAATGTAGTTTTGGTAGATTTTTCAAGATTTGAAATGATACTATATGACAGAGATACTTCGAAGAAAGAGGCTGCAAAGTGAGACGTATTAAATGAAGCATCAGATAGCGAATTATCAAACGAAAGCGATGGTGGTTGGATGAACATTATCAATGGTTGAGGCAATAAATGGAAAATGGAATGGAAACAATAATGGAAAATCATTAGTTTATATTGATACGTCTGACGTGTTAGGGTTAAAGACTGAACACAATGGAAAAACGTCGTGCTGTTGAGCGGCAGCCTGAGAAGTGCTCAACATTTTCAGTTGTATTTTTTTTTTGTAATTTTGAGTCAACCAGAACCTCCAAGACGTGAACCAAATAATCATCCAAGGTCGTAGCAAGTAATCAGAACCATGCATCCGGACATATTTCGGGTATCCCCGGGGAACTGGTCAGATTCTTCTTGAACCAACACCCACATGCGACACATCAAATTACGTGATAATTCAAAAATATGATCATTGGTGGCCATATTAAGTACTGAAGACCACGTTGGCCAGATCTGAACATGTTCCGGATACCCCCGGAGAAGTGAATATTCAACCTACTGTGCAATGTTCCTTCTTCCTTAAGGAAACATTGCGGTGAACAACACTACGCACTTTCGCGTGCTCATCACAACTTACTCGTACGTGCCCTTGGAGACTCAGGCGGTTATCTTCAGTCGCGAGGACTTAGATTCGCCGTGGGAGGAGTTCTTCAGTCAGCGGGCTTTTACGACTGGTTACAGTCGAAAATCGCTTTGAGGAAAGCTGAGTCTCTTGTTGGAAAAAAGACTGTTTTAGTCTACAAATTTCTTTGGCTTTTATAGCCTTCGGTGTACAACAATTTACATTGAATTTTCCTATCTTATAATGGGTTAAAAAGAGAACGAAAGAGACGCCTGGGACATAATGCTGACGAATATTGAAATTTGGGTTTTTGCCCTTGTGCGCCCATCGATGCCTTTGTTTTGATTTATTTTGCTTATGCTGTTTTTTGGGCTTGTGGTGCGAGACCACCCCGGGATGCAATTTGAGTCAACAAAACATGTGTTGGGTTATTATATTGCTACGATCATAACGCACATGCCTGGCTGTCCCTTAGTTGCGTGTTAAATGGTATGTTTCCGAAATTGCATCGATAGCTGTGCTGGCTATTTGACTGCGATTGAAATGGAAATGTTCTTGCTGGTACTGGATAATTAATTGCATGGGAAGATGCATAGCACACTACATCCTCATGTGACACACCAAACTATATGAGAATACAAAAATAAGAAGATTGGTGACCATTTTAAGTACTCAGGACCACACTGGCCATTAGGCTGATGCAAAATTTGAAATTTTTGCTCCACAGTGCTTAAACGGTTTCAAATCAGGTCCTGATAAGCCTCCCAAAATTTAAACTCATTTGGTAAGAAACTGACTCGGCACAAACTATTCGAAGTTTATATGGAAATTACTATGGGAAAACCAAACTTTTTGTTCATTGTCTTCTACCCATTTTCCATATTGATTTTTCGAAAATTTCTATAACTATTCTTACGGGAAATTTTCCAAGCTACAACTTTGCGTAATATTGTTTTTCAGCCAAATGTCAAATTAAATTGTTATTAATTGTTTAAGAGATTGATAATCTTATGGCTTGATCAAGCAGCTGTTCTGTGGGCAACACTGTATTCTGCAGTGTGACATAGTAGCCATGATTTTTGTGCTCTATTCTACGCGCTAGAAAAACCAATGTTGCCTGCTGAACAGTTGAATGAGCATAATCATAAGACATCAGTGACTTGAATCATTAATAACTTTTGTTCCTCACATTTGATTGAAAAGTGGTCTTGAACAAAGTTGTAGCTGAGGAAATTTGCTACAATCACTGTTCTCATTTTTAAAAGCATAGTGATGTGGTGAATTGTAAGATAGATATGAACAAAAATATAAGTTTTCCCAAAGTAATTCCCATATAAACTTGAAATGGTTTGTGCCAAGTCAGTTTCTTACTAAAGTAGTTCAAATTTTGGGAGTCTAAGCAGGACCCAATTTGAAACCGTTAAAGCACTGTGGAGCGATTTGTGATTTCAAATTTTGCATTAGTCTACTGGCCATACATGTTTCGGGTGCTCCCGGGGAGTTTCATAAATTTCCCGAAATTTTTCTGAGGCCAATGGAACTTCTCTGGAGTTCTCAGAACTTCCCTGAAATTCTCTTCAGAACTACTCGGAAGTTCTGCTCAGAACTACTGTGAAGGTCTCCTCAGAACTACTCTGAAACTCTCCACAGAAATACTCTGAAGTTCTCGTCAGAACTACTTTGAACTTCTCATCAGAACTACTCTGAAGTTCTCCTCAGAATTAAGTTCTGGTCAGAACCAGGCATGGAAAATAATTTGCATTCATTTCGTGCATTCATTTACATTCATTTGCCTCTAACTTTTTTCATCAACAGCATTCCCCAAAATGATGTATAGAGCTTTTGTAGGTTTTGTTATTAACTAGGGGAATTTACGTATTCTCGGCAACCTAAGCAGCGACCTTCTTTCTATAGCCTTTTTCTCTAAGGAACGCACACATATGCAGTATTGGTTTGTTTACAATCTTTTGCTGCCAGCTGCTCTAACAATTTCAGTCGAAAGAATTGTCAAAAACTGTTTTGAAACGCTTTTACAAAGCTCCAATCTTTTCTAGTGAGAGCGAGTATTGTCGGCAACCAGTTTTTCTTCGGCAACCGTTCCATTTGAACTGCATGTAAATCTGCTGTTCTATTATCGGCAACTCGAAATCAGCTACAATTTGTAGTGCGTGTGTTTCATTTCAAGAAAACCTTGCTAGATTGCTTTTTCTCAGTGGTAAAAATATAGTCAAATTGAAGCTGAAAGCATAAAGAATCGTTTGCATGCATTCAGCGAAGTGTTTTCGCAAGAAAATCCAGTGAAAATAGTGTTTTAATTTGGGTTGCCGAAAATAGTCTGGCATGCCGAAGCCGTCATTTCCCCTACTACTTTTGTTAACAAGTCAAATCCTTATCTCTTATGCATGACGAACCAGAGCGAACAGAATCCACTACTGTTTTTCAGTAACAAATTCTGCTCGCTCTAGTTCGTGATGCATAAGAGATACAGATTTGAGTTATGAGCAAAACTTGTCGCTAATAACAAAACCTTCAAAAGCTCTGTACATCATTTTGCGGAATGCTGTTGATGAAAAAAGTTAGAGGCAAATGAATGTAAATGAATGTATGAAATGAATGCAAATGATTTTCCATGCCTGGTCAGAACTACTCTGAAGTTCTCTTAAAAACTACTCTAGATCTTCGATGAAGTTTTCATCATTTTCCTGAAATTTACGAAGCTGTCCGAATATTCTCTTGAAGATCTTTAAACTTTTTCGCTAGTCGGGACTTTCCTAAAGATATCTTTAGAAGTCCTTTTAACGTCTCAATAAATTAGAGTTGTCTGGACTTCCCTAAGATTCACGGAACTTTCCTTAAGCTCCCGCAGTTTTCCTGATATTCATAACTCTTCTCCGAAGCTCTTGATATTTCCCCATGGTTCAAGGTACCGTAAAACGGGGTAACATTGATAGCTACCATCGCCAGGGATTTTTTGCCCATGTTTTGTATAATATTTAATGGAATATCCAACGTCTAATTCCTAAAGAATGGTCGAGTAACACCATAAATCCAATAGAGCATTTTATGAATTTATAGATCTTCAATAGAACTAAGAGCTTTATGGAAGCTTCGAGAATATCAAGATAGGTCAGAAAATCAAAGGGCAGTTCAAGTAATTTCAAGGAAATATTAGAAACCTTCAAGAAGTTTCGAGAAACTCCGTGAATTTCCGAAAACTTCAGCAAAGCTCCGAGAGAATTCTTAGAAATTTTATGAACATCCGAAAAACGTGAGAATATTTTAAGGGTGTTATATAATGGAGATTTCAAGAACTTAAAAAAATGCGAAAATTTAACTAAGTTGATTAGCGAACAACAACGAAATTTCATTAATAAAAAAACGGGAAATATCTTCGAGAAATTACAGAGAACTAAATTTAGATATTTTTAGATAGTTTAATGATATTCAGCGAAGTTCCAAGTACTTCGGGGACGATCAGATAGCTTCAGAATGATCCCATTATCTTAAGCAAATTTGCAGCGACTTTAAGGTTCAATTTACTTTGATGCTTTTAGGAAAATTTCAAAAGCAGTTTTTTCCGACGCATTATTTCAGATTGCAAAAAGCTCGCACTATTCGATTCCTTTTGATATTTTACACAAAATGACGCGAGCTTTTTGCAATCTAAAATAATGCGTCGGAAAAACTGCTTTTGAAATTTTCCAAACAGCATCAAAGTAAATTGAACCTTAAAAGAGCTCCATGGAATTATAGGGTATTCCAAGAATTCTATGATTGATCCAAAAACGTCAGAAGCCTTAGGGAATATGAATATATTTATCAGAAAATTTGCTGGATTATTAAACAAATTTAGAGAACTTCAGGTAAGAATAGATAAGTTCAGGGAAAAGCGAGTGTTAACCCTCCGTTACTCGCGCCAACTTTTGTAACACGAGTACTCGCGCGTTGTACTTTGTACAACAGTGTGAGTTTTCCGTTGCCATTTTGCAGCCGAGCCACCAATCGATATGAAACCAACGGGTATTCCTTAAAAAAAAAACTTGTTTTTTACTAAACAAGCTAAACTTTTATCACAGTTACCTCCAAAAAAATTGCGGATAATAGAGAAAATGTGAATGGAAACCGCGTAAACGGTGTCCGTACTACGTGGGATTTGACTTAGTTGGTTGCAACATGAAAAATC